AAAAAAAAAAAAAAAAAAAAGGTGGTTTAAGACTAAACCCAATGGTTCAGACAGGTGCAGTACTTTATAGCTGCAGGGGCGGGCCATGGTGTGCAGTGGGCCTGACTTCAGAGAGGCAAAAAACAAACATGCGGCTATTTTTCCTTCTTTTGCCCTTTCGAAACTTGCGCCGTGACCAAACTGCTATTTGTTGTCTTTTAACCTTTTTTGCCTTTTGAAACTGAAAACCTGACGTGCCGGCAGTTGTTTCAAAACAAAGATCGGTGTTCGGATGACAGCCGGAATACCTGCATGCATCACCCCTGCTCAATGCTTTCTGTTTGTGTGTCATGTTGATAGCAACAGGCCCTTTATGAGATGCAATCAAGGAGAGCTTGTTCAGTAGCAGTCCATTCTCCCGCTCGATGTTCGCCAATCGCTCTAACTTGACAAGCACACATTATTTAATTCAGCAACCACAATGGCCAAGCATGTATTGCCTTCACTATACAGTTCAACACATTGCACCTTTTTTTTTGCCTTTTTACCTTTCCCAGCTATTTTTTCAGAGGTGTGCCGGGTAACGCGCCGGCCTGAAACGGAAGGGGGGCCGCCTATAGATCGGGGCCGCCTATAGATTGAATAGGCGGCCTTTCTTGATTTTCGGGCTGGCGCGCAATGCCCACGGCCGACATATGGGAAAGGTACTGGTGGTTTAAAGAGAACAACCCGGACGGGTGCTAGAGGTGCTGATAAGAGCAGACACCACGAGCACTCCCGAGAAGGCTCCATCTATTGGTGGGGACCAGCACCTGCTGGAAAGTGGGTCCAGCGTCCCTGCACGGTGAGTTGTTTGTTTGCACCTTACTTATCATTGAAGTGGATCTGCTTAGACACAATTCCAAGTGTCCCACATCATTTATTGTGTATAGTGGGCCAGAGAGATGGGATGTACCTCACAGTTGTAGGCCCAACGCCTTTGGGGGCTTGCGGAAGGCAGGGCAGGTAAGAGGGGTGGGGAGGGGAAAGGAGGGGGGAGGAGAAGGGGGGGAGGCAGATCTGTGGAAAAAAATTCATTGGTGAGCTGCGAAGCTGCAAGCTCCATCCTCCCAAAAAAACGATAGGGAAACCTTGACCAATTGAAATGCCAGAGCCATTACAGACCTCCTAGGAAGATAGCTCCTTTACTGATGAACTAACATAGACTTGATTGGGAAACCTTGAGTAATTGGAATTGCCCCAGATTCTACAAAACCCAGGCCTGATGCCGCTCAGCAGATCAGTCATAAACCTGTGCCAGCCCTCCTGCCTGGTCAAAAAGTCCTAGTGTGAGTATGCCCTTATGAGGATCGAGAACAACGGGGAAGTGAAGGGCGATCGTTGGGGGTAACAGATGAATGTAGCCACCAAGCAGGAACTAAACGTGCCCTCACGGAAAGGGATGGAGTGTGAGAGTTGTCCTTACGGGTGCTCTGATTGAGTCTCGACCCAAATGTCATTGCCGCCAGCACGTTTCCCAGCCATTTTGCAGAAACGCGTGGCGCATGCTGGCGCGTCAGGCCGATGCTCCGGGGTGCTGTTTTGCCTGAAATCCATCCAGGCAAACCGGGCCTCTTATGCAACCTTTTTTTTTTTTTTTGCATGCAACCTGTTTTGCCTGAAAGGATTTGGGGCAAAAGGGCACCCCAGTGCACCCTGCCCGTCACTCCGGCATGCACGGCGCATTTTTGCAAAATGGCTTTGAAAGTTGAAACGTGATGGTGGTTTAATGTAAGAGATGCGGGACCTGGATTCCAGCAGGTGACGCTTCCCCACCAATAGAATGACACCATCTAGGAAGGCAAAAGCCTCCTTTTGGGGGCGTAATCAATGCCTCCCGCTGCATAGGGAGACAGCCTGTGTATATCACATTTGGGAACAACCCACACAGAAGACACAGTCAGTGTTCGCACTGCACACATATGTTTACACAGCTACTAGTACAAAACTTTTGAGATGTGGAGGTGCAGGGGTGCTGGACCCGATTTCGAGCAGGTTCTGCTCCCCACCAATAGATGGAGCCTTAAATAACCCGGACCTGCTTAAAGCACCAGTACATGGGCACCTGGGCTGCGGCCCAGACACCTCAAATTCTGGAAGCGGGAAATGAAAACGTAACCGCTGAGCCAATTTATCAACGGCAGGCCCGAAGTTTGACGTTTCGGCCTCGTTTTCTTGTGGCGACAAGTTTCAGACTGCAAGGCTGAGGCCACCAAAAAAAAAAAAAAAAAAAAAAAAAAAAAAAA